TGTGGGTCTGGTCCCTCAGCTCTCCCACCCATACGTACAGGACTCCCCCGGCACTGGAGCGGATACCGGCAAATATCTTCACTAGCCGCACTGCAGCGGATCCAGCCAGTCCTCTACGGCAGTATCCCGGCTCCTTTTGCCCGCTAGATAGCTGATGTTTTTCTCCCGGTCCTCCAAGTGAGCTTTCTTTGAAAAGTATAAGACCGCCCAATGGCGAAATAAGGCAGATTCAGTACGGTATAGTCACTAAATACCACAACTCAGCCCACATCCACCGCTGAGGCCACCAAGCGCCGGTATTCTATCATGAACACTAACACTATTAACACTAAATAGGCCATTTTTAGACACTTTTGTGTCACATTGGATCACCTAAAATATTTGATACTGTATAGGTCTTTTTCAAGACCTTTTCACTGGTATGAAACACACATACATATATATTTTTTTCGTAAGAAGGTATTTTTAAACCAAATATATATTTCTTTAGGGAATCATTTAGTTCACTTTAAACCTTTAGCGCTGTGTTAACACTCACACATCACATACACTATTTTTCATAGCAGCTTTAGGATCACCATTTTAACATCTTAGGCTATTTTTCCAAGAGCGCAGATTTTTGTTGTAATCAATCTACATATTTAGCAGCTCATAGCAAAACTCTGGTCTGTAAGCTTTGGACGATCATGGGAATTCAGTCTTTAGTGCAACTGCGATCTTAATGACAGTCTTAAATCAAGATTGCATATATAACAAAAATTGCTGCTACATTATGCAACTGGTTATGCTTGTAGTGTGTATGCATCTAGCTGCTGCCTTCATCTTCCTTTATTACGAATAGTCAGGTACTTATTGCATTGTACTGAATTCCTAACACACAGCACTTCTTTCTGCAGACATAAAAGTTCCTGTGAGGTAAAGTGTATGTCACTGCAGAATTTTTAAAAAATGATGCCGTACATCTCTTCCATACATGCACATTTCTCCATGTTTTATCCCTTTAAAGACGCTGCAAGTGCAGAAAGGTACCTGCTGATCTGATGCTCGTACAGGCATCTGCGCATGTGCCTGGTTCTGTTCACAGAAATGTGTCTGGCCATGCACGTTTGCGCAGACGCATGGGCGCGCACATGTTACCGCGCATGTGTGAACCACGTATTGTGAATTCGGGCACCACACAGGCTATTTAGGCTGTAACATTCTGGCAACTGGTGCTGAGTGATTGACAGCCTTCCTGTGTTCCTGAGATCCTGTGGCCTGATTGTTCATCCGTTACTGACCTGGCTTGTTGGACCTTCCTTCTGCTACTCTGTACTCCTTTGACCTTGGCTTGTTCCTCAACTACTGTTCCTGTCTGGCACATTGTACCTCATTGCCCGCACATTACCACCTCAGGCCTGTTCCCAACTACACCCCTGCTTGTCGTCTGGTACTGCTCTGCCCACTTGTTAAAAACACCGCTAGTCTGAGTACGGCTCTTCTGGAACCCTGTTTCCTAAGTGTTCCATTGGCCTGCAATCTGCCCTGGACTCATCAGCAATGCAGAGATTGATCCTTTATGCCACAGTGATATCCTCCTTTCGCTATCCAGGGGCTCTGGGACTGGAGCTGCAAGGGAGGCCGCCCTCTTCAACTTATACTACATCAGATACGTGACACCTGAGCAGGAAGTCAAAAGAGGAAATCTCTCCAATTAAATACAAATAGGTCAAAAACCTAACCCTAACCCAAGAGTTTAATCATTATTAAAAAATAATTTGGTTTAAAAAGGACATCCAGTGATATCTTCTACCCTAATTGTAGATAACTGTATATTTATCCATAAATTAGGACACAGATTATTTCAGACTGTTAGAGTTTATATCTGCTGTAGAAAGCTTATACATTCCATAGTCGTTCATTTATTGCTGGACAGGCTAGCAGGGCCTCCATGTTATTTACAGCTCTCCTAAATCACTGCCTTCATATACTCAGCATGTATCTCTATATTCTGGACCATTACCAAACTATTAGAATATTTCCAGTACTGTACATATTTCTTTTTATCTGCCAAATAAGGCAGTGTGCTAAACAGTCTTTAGCGAAACCAGATTCTTAGCTTTCCTTTGGGCAGTTATTTCTCAATACATAGTGGGCCTGCTTTACTAAACCTGATTTCAGGCTGCTAGAGAGGTTGAGCAGTGCTGGTAGATCTTAAAGCATATGCAATTGAATAGGTGACCATGAACTCATGCTCATTAAAAATATTTTCTATAGTGCCAACAGTTTGAGCAGCACTTTATGAACTAAAGGAGATAGTACAGTAACAATACAATTGTAGAGGGTTAGCAGGGCCTTGCTTGTGAAAGATTATAATGTTAAAAGAAAGGGCAAGTGATACAAAGGGCACTAACAGTGAGAGATGAGCTGATGGAGGAAGCAAAAGTATTGCTTTTAGATAGAAGCAGGATAAGCTTTCTTGAATAAATTTGTTTTCAGGGGCAGAGTAGTAGATAGCTTGACAGATTGAGGTAGGGACTTCTAGAGGAAGGGATAGAGAACATAAAAGGAGGATAGAAGGGAGCTTGAGAGCAGGCCTTGAGAGAAGCAGAAAGGACAGTTTGTCTGATATTTTAAGGTTAAGTCAGTGATGTAGCTTGAGAAGAGTTGTGGATTTTTTTTTATGATGTTAATATTTAGAATTTTATTAACTGGATGAGCGGAAGCCATTGAAAAGCTTGGCAGAGAGGGGCAACGGACACTGAGCTGTTGGTGAGGTAAATAAGTGGATTAATCGATAGAGAAGAGGAGTAGTTCTTGCTCTGCATTTCCAGTACAAATCTTTCATAATTTCAATAAAAAATATAATAAACACATAAAATACTTAATTGATTTGAATATCTGCTGCTTGCTTCTTTAATTTCAGTGGGGTGAGATTCTTCAGACTGTGCACATACATATTCCTATGCATTTACCACACTAAGCCCACAACAATAAGCTAACTGGAACTTTATTTGTAAAACACAACTTTGCTAGCTGGAAGGCTGTTATTGCAGAATGTATGTATGTATCTTCTGCAATAAAAGGGATTTACCTTCCTGCTAGCAGGTCTCTAATGATTGTACACTGAGCTGCGCATGCACAACTCCGGATATAATCTGGCCACGTTTTTGTGTCGATGTCACACATTCAGTTTTATTTAGTCCTAAATGCCAGCGCTTGATTGCTCCTGTGAGGACAGGCAAAGTATGATAAGAAATTGGTTGTATCAGTTCTAGAGATATGTGCTCAGATTTGTTGCAAATACTTAGAAGCCGGCTAAGGATACACATTTTGTGTTAAACGTTCTGTTTGTAGATCTATAGGCCATTAAGTGAGTGTGTGATTTAGTGACTAAAGAGTGAAGAAGAAAACATTTTAAGGCAGTATATATTTAAAGTGACACTAAGCTCAGGAGTTAAATCTTAAAAATGCATTCAAGTACCTTAAAGCTGACCAATGCATCCCTCTATGTATAATGATTAATAATAACATAAACATGTCAGGTGTAAAATGCTGTGATTTTGAAATACTTACACTTGCAGAGCATTCACTTCCTGCTTTGAAAGGGCAAAATTACTTCAGTTTGGCAAAGCAATGCACACTGGGATTACCATCAGCAAAACATTGCTGGGATATCTCATCTGTAACCTCATGAGATCTCAAGGAAAGGCATTTTCTTCCCCTGAGATTATGTGCAAAGTCACATGTCTAGGCACATGTGCCAGAAATCCAGGAAGTAAAAGGAGAGCTAGCAATCTGCCCTCAGTAAACATGGCCACTGTCAGAGACTGAGGAAGAAAAGATTATTAAGGTATGCAAAGAATACAAAGCCGGCAATTATCTAGAAGTACCTGTTTGTAGATTGTCATTGCTAAACATTTCTAAAGGTGTGTTTCTTGTAATTTTAGTCTGGTTTAACTATTAACAAAAATGTATCTTATTTGTGTATCACTCAGCAAGTAGATGCTCAAATCATCTCTGAATTCATGCTTACACTGTTGTTCCTTCTGGAGGTTGGCTACTTTTGTTCCCCATGGTTCCTGTGTGTTGTAAAGTAGACACCATTCCAAGATCACTCCTATGATGGACAACAATCTCATGTTTAGTTTACTAATTTGTAGTGAGATTGCAGTCCATCACATGAGTGAGCTTGGAGTGGTGACTACTTTACAACACAAACAGGGACCATGGGGAACAAAAGTAGCCACCCTCCAGAAGGAAGGACAGTGTCAACACAAATACTGAGATGATTTGAGGATCTACAGCCACCTGATACACAAAAAGGCTACATTTCTTTACATTGCTTTGATTTAGTTGAATGCATTTTTAAGATTTAACTCTTGAATTTAGTGTCACTTTAAAAATAAATACATTTGATGTTTTTTAATATATGCAAATGATTGCCTAATTTGCTTAGTGCACACAGGTTCTGCTTCCTTTGTTGCAGTGCTACACAATGGACGTGCTTCACTGCAACTTTTTACAACTTTTAACAGTGCCTGATATTTATTTTTTTAAAGCTGCTTGGATTAGGTAGCAGTTAGGTAGAGTCAACATAATAAAACAAATCTGGCAGACCAAGCATGTAAGCATGTAAAAGTGTTACATAAAAATAATAAAAACGACTTTACAGTAAACACTGCGATAATCAAATATATGCATGTTGAAAATAACGTAAACTTTCCCTTTAAGCCACTTTCACTGTCTTTCTTGTGTGTGGCAGAAGTTCAACGTTAGTGTGGCCTTAATCCAATCTAGTTAGGATTTTGTATCACGCATGGACCTATTTATTCCAATCAGACATTATAAGCACAGAAAACGATTCCTACACATAAATACATAAATCAGCATGAATAAATGTCTTTTTGTTGTACATATGTATCATCTATTTAGATTCCCATTACAGAGCACACAAGCGGCTTGCTTGAAACTGCACACAAAATAAGCAAATAATGAAAAAATTGGAAAGCTAATCTTACCAGGCCGTCGCAGTTGCTTAATGCAACAGATGCTCCAGGAATATCTGTTATTTCTCCGACATAAGCACAATTAGTCCACAGTGGCTCTTTTTTCAAAATTTCCTCTGTGTTATTTGCAGCATGGCTTGTATTTCCAACATGGCTTCTATTTTCAATGTTCATAGGGTCATCATCATGCCACTCCACAACAGCCCCTGGTGCAATGAGTCGCGTGTTTGGCTTTAATTTGAGATGGAATTCTCTTCCAAATGCTGTAACATTGAAGTAGAGAGGTTGACGGCTGTGTGATGTGTCTCTTTTTAACCTCCTTTGGTGAATTATGGACACGACATTGGAAACATGGTATCCCTCTGCATCTGTGCTCATTGGGGTTACCAGTTCATACTCTCCTAGTATCCTGCCTAAATCTGAGAAAAGAGAAACAAATATTGTTGTTTTTTATTTAAATGTATCATTGTTGAAACTGGAACATATTTCAGTACAGTAAAAGTAAAGTAAAAACATTCATAAATGAAAAGTTTCAGATACAGTTAAGTAGGGTATACATGGGTAGATTTTCGCACAAACGTTCGTATGAAAAATCCCATCAGAATGTTTGACAATACCATCAGAGGCTTGGTGATTGTGCTCTTAATTTCGTTTGATTTTTATTTAACATTCGATTTTGGAATGAATAGAAATTTCAGAACAAAAACCACATTCACTGTTAGAATTTCACTCAATCAAGAAAAAAATTCCAACATCCTTCTTCAAATTTTTTCATCACTGTGGTCGAAATCGATCACCGATTTCACACCATCAATGATTAGAAAGTCGAACAAATGTTCTAAAATTGATTCAATTTGTTCACAATTCTAACCATGTATACCCAACTTTACTATACATAAACTATCTGAACAAAAGCACTATCGTTTAGGGCTGACACTCCATGACACTCATGGGCCAGACAGTAAAGGAAAGCAGCACCAAGCCTCAAAATGTTCAAGTTGTGACAATTGATTTAATTTCTCTCTTCTGACCTAATGGGCTGAAAATCTCGGCTTATACTTGAGTATATACGGTAACCATATTCAGCAAGAGAATTATTGAATTATTAAAGGAAGGAAGATGCGGAGAGGAGTCAGAAGGATATTTGAAGTTCAGAAATCATTAAACCATCCCTCCTTTCTCTTGGAAGTCTGTACAATTGTAAAGTAGTTTTAAATATAAAATTAAAACAGATAGTGCACCCTCTCCAATGGTGTATTCTAAATTTTAAAAAAAATACAAAATAATCACACAGCATAAAAAACTGAGCATGTTTTAAAAAAAACGTCATTCATATCAGCCAAGGGCAACATTATGTCCATATACAGCCCTGCCTGTGTTACCAACAGCAATGTATCATCTTTTAGTTAATGGTTTATAAATTATGTTAAATAAAAATAAAAATCTATTTGGAAGATGCTTTTTATACAATGATAAAGGTGGTTTATTTGTGTCAGCTCAGTCTGTCCTTTCTATTAAATGTTATATTATAAATATTATTGATACCAGTGCTCAGGCTACAGTGTTATAAATTCCCTAAAGTTTAGATTACATGACATTCCTTAATTTAGCAGTGTTCGGTTTCAAGTAGCATGCTCTGTTTGGTCATTCTTACATATATTCCCCTCACTTGACTCTGGCATGCCATTCAGCTACTAGAAGCAAAGGGAAATACCCTGTAGCTCTAAGTATGGGGGAGTATGTGACTCTCTTGCCTTCCTCCCACAATGAAGTGCCAGGTGTCTGAGTGACCAGTTGTACCAACAATGTCACATGGGGGCAGGGAAAGAGTCCCTAGACTGTGTGAGCTCTGACAAAAGGAAGCTACAAAGGAACTTAAACAAGGCTTCTTCTTTTCACCAACAACTGCAGCATGAAGACATACTTTTATAATCATATAATATTTTATATACAATTAGATTATCCATCGCATTACTTAGCTATTGGTAAATCTAAAGGAGATTGTACAATGAGATTTATGGGGTATTATACTATTCTAACATTTTAACATCTGTTTGCTATTTATTAAAATGTTGTATCTGAAAAGGTACTTCCATACCTTTTCAACTGACTTAACTGTAGTATTTGAGCTTAGGGTAACGGGAGGACGCTAGTTTGTGTCCTCCCGTTACCCTAAGGAGAACTATGGGGAAAAACACTGACCCCATAGTTCTCCTTTAAGACAAACACTGGTCAACACTATCCTTGTTAGATTGGGCTTATAAAATCAAATCTGAAAACTAGTATGTGTGCTGCTGCTGGAATAACAAAGGCTGAATAATGTCCATGCACACACATGGCTTCATTTTGCTTTTCTGACAATATTAGACCCACTTTTAATCGACCAGATATTGAATAGTAGTAGGCCTCATTGTATCTCAAATAAACAATCTGGTTATCAGAAGAACACAACCTTTCATTCAATTCCTTTTTTACAAGTATAAGATGCAAGTTATTGAGCTATTGTTTTCTCTTTGAACTGAGATTCTCAAAAAAAAAAATATCTCTGTTTAAACAATCTGATAGCCCTATCTGTGTTAGCACACTCCGTACTGACTCACTGGGGGTGATTTACTAACCTAAACACACGCACGCACCAGGTGCATGTGATTTTTACACAGCAAAGCGTATTTATCAACCAAAAAGTCTCTATAAGCATGTTTCCACTAATGCCATATATGGAAAAATCATGCACATGATGCATATATAATGCTGCTTCACAGTTTTGACAAAAATGGTTAGCTCATTTACATTTACATTCCTGCATTCATCAACGCAAGCAACACAATGTAGAGCTAATTTACACAACATCACCTTGCAATTCAGGGCAGGGCTTTGCACAACACACCTGCTGGGTGTGTACACACTACAAAGGTGTTTAGATTCCACCCATAGATCATGCTGGGAGGGAACACACTACAGAGGTGTATACATGTTCGTGATGTGTTTATAAGGTTAGTAAATCAACCCCACTAACTCTAGTACTCTTTTCTGCGCATATTCTTATATCCAAAATCCCATGTCCTTTGCATTAAATTACCCATACTTTCTTCACTGTCTACAATACCTTAGAGGGGAACTCTAGTATTTTTGGGATGCTGAGATACCAGTTCAGATACCAGTGCCGATATTTGGCATTTTCACGAGAACTGCCAGGGCTGCAGCAGTTGCATCTGGGACCTGGCTATGGAGCTCCACCACTGTCCTGAAATCATTAGTCTGTATTGTTTTAGAAAAACTGTCACGTGACAATAAACAAAAAGGTATCAGTAATTGGTATCTGAGAGGACAAGTATTGGTACTTGTACTTAAATCATACATTAAAACAGGGATGCGCAAATCCCAGGAGCCCCATAGCCAATCTTCCTTAAAAATGACAGCTGCCTCCTAACTTTTGAGTTTTTCTCTAGTCTTGACTTGGAGCTGGAAAAGTATCTGTACTTGTTCATGTAACAATTACGGTACTTGGTATGGCCTAATGCAAATAATGTTATAAGTGAGTGTTAATGTATTAAAAAATGTTAATCTATGTATAATTTGCAAGTATAGATGTACATGTGTGGCATTTTTATTTGCTCATCTCATCTAATGAAGGGCACCCCTCATGATTATGGTAGTCAAAGACCATGTGTCCTAGGCAGCAAAAGGCTATAGGTCACATGCCAACGCTCAAAAGTAACAGGTTTTCTTTGTTTATTCATGGTAAGTAAGAGTGGATTTAATTAAGCATAATAATAAATTGATTTCATAGTGCTGTCATGCACCCCACTGGTTTATGGCAAATGTGATTTTTATTGATAGGTCAATTTTATGCCTAAAATCATGACTGTTAAGATGGAGAAAAGAGTCCTTACATTCTTCATCTCCTATTTTACTGCATTGTGGAAGTGTTTCAAAGAAACATTAAAATATAGAGGAAATGTAATCTTGCCATCTTACTGAAGAGGTTTAAGAGCACATGAGTTTGTTTCCATGGGTTTAACCTCCTTAATGGGTCTAAAGACTTTTTATAGCTCAAACTCGGACCTAAAGCAAGGTAAGATTTTTTAAGAAAAACAAAAACATAAGCGCACGACTGATACTTGGTCACTGGATAAATCACGGGCTATAAATTATGGTGTGCAGGCTCTCAATGACAGGGAGAGGACCCTGCAAATTCGATATATAAACAGAAAAAAACAAGAGAGAGAGCGCTACTACCTAGAGAAAACTTGTATTGAATGGCATCTATTCATAAGAGAAAGAACAAATGTGTGTAACTTACGGTTGGAAGTCTGCAAATGTGTCAAGGATGGTGAAACAGTGACCGGTATCTAGAGAGAGTCCAAAGCAGAATGCTGCAGCGATGGATGGATGAGGGGGCACTGTGAAAAATCCTAGCGGCACGCGTGCACGGCTGGCCAGGCCGGGCCACGGCGGCTATGGGAGGGAGGACCGCGGCGGTTGTGGGAACGAGACCGCGAACGGCTGTGTTCGGTGCGTGTATAATGGAGACAGATAGATAGGCTGAGTATCGACAAGGCGTCTGAGTGGGTGGATGCTGTGCACAGACGGGCTCGCTGTATCGTGGGTCACGAAGAACATTTGTTCTTTCTCTTATGAATAGATGCCATTCAATACAAGTTTTCTCTAGGTAGTAGCGCTCTCTCTCTTGTAAGATTTTTTAAACAGCTCTTAAAATGTATTTCAACTTTCACAGCCAGATTGGGTTAGCATCTATTTATAATTTTTACATGTTCCCATTTACATAGCATAAGATAAAAACAATAAAAATGCTTCTAGCCTAAATTGCTTTCATTTGTGTTTGGGTTTCTTGGCTTCTTAAAGGTAAAACTTTCTTCTTGCTTCTCCTTTCTTGTAATGTTAGGAGGGGTTGCGAGGGCGGATGGGTTAGTTTAATATAATTTGTAAAGCAGATCTGAACACTGCCTGTCCTAATAAAGATTTAAAGGATTTAAACCCTGGCTTGTGCATTGTATGTTATTGAGGTTAATGAGAGAAACACAAGCCTCAAAAATCCTCTACTGCAAGCCAATTAATGCAACACTAATTCGCGTTATATTAATATTTGTTGTTTATTTGCTGGGACTTCAGAGAAATAACAATGCACTCTGTAGTTGTTTTTTATATTATTTTATTAAATATTGCAATATATTGTACTTTAAAATAGAGCTAGTTTAATGGCCTGAGTGGGAGGTTATGTGTGGTGACCCCATTACAAGACAATTACTTTACAGAGGGCTGCTAGCTTTAAAGCCCATGTCTGGGCAAACAAAAACATACCCTTGCAGTGGGGCTAGCCCTGTATGTTTGCCTGGAGATGGACTTTAGGGCACTGGAAACTGGAGTGTGACATTTAAAAGCTAAGCAGTAGACAACA